TCCCCTCTCGAAAAAGTCTTATGGCCTCAAAAACCACAGAATAAAGTTCAAACTGTAGTATATTTACAGTTCTCTACACTGTGGCCCCAATGTACCTTTCCAGCATCACTTCTCAGATTCTTCCCCAAACACTTTCAGGTTTCTAAGCCTCAGTTGATACCACGGCCTGGAATGTCTGACCCTTAAGTCTTCATCTTTTTCATGTTCAAGTCAAACGTCTTTCTGATTAGCTTTTCCCAATACCCCAAGGCAGGCTCTTTTTCTCTGCTCGAATGCAATGTTAACGACTTCCTTTTACCCTTTCAAAAACAGTATGGAGAGACGATCCAAGATGGCCGATCAATAACAGCTTGGGATTGCGGCTCTCAGTCAAAGCGCAGAGAACTAGAGGACGCCACACTCTCAGACAAATTCTGGTCACTCACGGAGCAGAAGATCCCCAGCGGAGGAACCACAGGGGTCGCCAGCACCACTCTTGTGGCCGGCGCAGCTGTTTCGCCGGCACCTCGGTGCGGCAGCTCTCGGAGCAGAGTAAACAGTGCCGGCTCCCCTTCTGACCGAGGTCTGGAGGACCCACACGGGTCCCCAGCACGACTCCTGAGGCCGGAGCAGCGGCTGTGACGGCACCTCAGCGCGGCAGCTCTCGGCGCAGAGTAAACGAGACTGGTTCCCCTTCTCCAAGGTTTGGAGCCCGGGGAAGGCAGAGTCGCCCATTACGGACACAAGAAGGAAGCCAGACAGGAGAATCCTGGGCAGAAAAGCACCATCAGTCTTAATGTCGCTGTTCTGGACCTGGGAACTAACAACTTGGATGTCCACTCAAGAGACCTAATCTGAAAGCTGGTAATTTCAAAGACGACAGGAGGATAAATTTACAATGACGGGAAGAAGCCAGCGTAAAAAGGCTGAGAATACTCAAAATCAGAACGCCTCTCCCTCTAAAGATGATGACAGTTCCACATCAACAATGGAACAAGGCTTGACGGAGAAGGAGCCCATCACAATGACAGAATCACTCTTCAAGGAATGGATAATAAGAAACTTCTGTGAGTTAAAAGAACATGTTGTGGCCCAATGTAAAGAAACTAGGAACTTTGAAAAAAGGTTTGACGAAATCCTATTGAGAATAGACAACTTAGAGAGGAATATAAGTGAATTAATGGAACTGAAGAATACAATACAGGAACTCCGAGAAGTATGCACAGGTTTAAACACTCGAATTGTTGAAGCAGAAGAAAGGATATCAGAGGTCAAAGTCCAACTTAATGAAAGAAAACAAGAAGACAAGATTAGAGATAAAAGGATAAAAAGGAATGAGCAAAGTCTCCAAGAAATGTGGGACTATGTGAAAAGACCAAATTTACGTTTGATAGGTGTACCTGAATGCAATGGAGAGAATGAATCCAAGCTGGAAAATACCCTTCAGGATATTATTCAGGAAAATTTTCCTGAACTAGCAAAGCAGGTCAATATTCAACCCCAGGTAATACAGAGAACACCACAAAGATATTCCTCAAGAAGACCAACGCCAAGCCACATAATCGTTAGATTCACCAGGGTTGAAACAAAGGAGAAAATACTAAGGGCAGCCAGAGAGAAAGGTCAGGTTACCCACAAAGGCAAGCCCATCAGACTTACAGCAGATCTCTCAGCAGAAACTCTACAAGCCAGAAGAGAGTGGGGGCCAATATTCAACATCCTCAAAGAACAGAACCTTCAGCCCAGAATTTCATATCCAGCCAAACTAAGCTTCACAACTGAAGGAAAAATAAAATCTTTTATGAACAAGCAAGTACTCAGAGATTTTATTACCACCAGGCCTGCTTTACAAGAGCTTCTGAAAGAGGCATTACACACAGAAAGAAACAACCAGCATTAGCCTTACTAAAAATATACCAAAAAGTAAAGAGCACCAACATAAAGAATAATTTTCATCAACGAATGGATAAAACAGCCAGTTAACATCAAATGGCAGTAACCCTAAATTTAAATCGACTAAATCCCCCAATCAAAAGACACAGCCAAAACCCAACGGCATGTTACATCCAGACCTGTTTCACATGCAAGGATACACAAAGACTCAAAACAAAGGGATGGAGAAAGATTTACCAACCAAATGGAGAACAAAAATAAATAATAAATAAATAAAAAGCAGGAGTTGCAAATCTCGTATCGGATAAACTATTTTAAAGCAACAAAGATACAGTGGTAAAAGGATCAATGCAACAACAAGAGCTAACGATCCTAACACCCAGATACATAGAGACTTAGACTCAATGAGACAGAAAATTAATAAGGATATCAAGGACTCGAACTCAGATCCGGAACAAGTAAACTTAATAAATATTTATAGAGCTCTCCACTTCAAATACACAAAATATACATTCTTGTCAATACCACATCATACCTACTCATAAGTTTAAATGAAACATTGATTGGCCATTATTAATACCCAATTTTTTTCAGAATAAAGCAATATTTCCGTTTACTCTCCCTCTTTCTCTTCCTCTTTCTTCCTCTCCTTTACTTTTTTTTTTTTCTTTCCTTCTTTCAAAAAAAGAAATCAACTTGTAAACCTCTAGATCCAGGTTGGCAATGTCTCTCTCATTGCTTGAATTCCTTCCTTCCCTTCCCTCCCTTTCCCCGCTGCCTCCCTTCCTTCCTTCATCCCTTCCTTCCTCCCTCCCTTCCTCCTTCCCTTCCTCCTTCCCTCCCTAAAAAAAAAAACCTAATCACCCTTTCCCTGCTCAACGTCAGAACCCCATCCCACAACAGGCATTAAAGGGATTAAAGCCTGTTATCACCCACCTAATACAACATGGCCTTTTAAAGCCTACAAATTCTCCTTACAACTCCCCTTCCCTACCTGTCCAAAACCCAGGCAAATTCTACAGACTAATCCAAGACCTCTGCCTCATCAATCAGATTGTACTTCCCATCTACCTGGTTGTACCAAATCCCTGTACTCTCCTATCTTCCATATTCCCTTCCACAACTCACTATTCTGTTCTTGACCTCAAAAACGCTTTATTTTCCAAAGCCCAAATTAAAAAAAAACAAAAAAACAGTATCACACTGGACTTCCATTGTTTGCCCATTGTCTGGGGTGAATCTCTGTTGCAGTACTACCATAATTTTATTTTCTAACCTTTCTAATAAATATGTAAAATGACTTACTTTTTAACGTAAAGGCAATTAAGTACATTTTGATTATTAATACAGTACTTGGACAAGAAATCAAGATTAAACAGTGATATAGCTATTGGCAGAAAATAGATTCAATTGGTTGAAAATATTTTTCTTTTTCTCTTTCCTTTTTTACTGAGACAGGGTCTCCCTCAGACTGGAGTGCAGTGGCATGATCAGGGCTCACTACAGCCTGTACCTGTTGGGCTTGAGAAATCCTCTTGCCTCAGCCTCTTGAGTAGCTGAGATTACAGGCATGTGCCACCACGCCCAGCTAATTTTTGTATTTTTCATAAAGGTGGGTTCTCACTATGTTGCCTAGGCTGATCTTGAATTCCTGGGGTCAAGTGATCCTCTCATCTTGGCCTCCCAAAGGGCTGCAATTACAGGCATGAGCCGCCCATACCTGGTGAAATTATTTTTCATAGTCATCAGTGACCTTCAAATTGAAGCAAGCTTTGTATCTTTTGGCTACAGGGCTTCCTGACTTCAGAGTTTACTAAATATTTCACTCTCAAGTTAATCAAGTTCTGTGTACAAAGGCAGATAGGTATAGAATTGGCCCACTGATGATTATGGAAAGAGGTAGATGCCTGCGTGGCTCACTAAATTCTCTGAAAATTTCTATTTAATTTCCTTAGTCTTAAGGATTTGCAAAATGATGTATGCAGAAACAGAATAGGCTTGGAGGTGGGTTATTTTCCATGATTGTATCACAAGTCAAGTCCTGAGGACCTCAAGGAATACACTGAAAGAAGGAAAACAAAAACAAGAAAGGGAGAGGTCAAAATAAAGAAGAGCGAAAAAACACGTTTTCTAATCTAGGAGCTTTAGGAAATTTGTGTAAACAGTAGCATTAGGAATGACGAGGATGGCCGGGCCTGTAATACCTGTAATCCCAGCAATTTGGGAGGTTGAGGAGGGTGGATCACTTGAGGCCAGGAGTTTGAGAGCAGTCTGGCCAACATGGTGAAAAATAAAAATAAAATAAAATGGCTAGGTGTGGTGTCCTGCAAGGCTGCAGCGAGCCAGGATCGTGCCAGGATCGTGCCACTGCACTCAAGCCTGGGGGACAAAGTGAGACCCTGTCTCAAAAACAAAACAAAACAAAAATGAATGACGAGGGAAAAGAGATTTTGAAGACCAGGCCAGACCAGTTACGGAATCCACAGGCTGTTAAAGTCACAACCTGTTATGTTGTTATAATTTTCAACCAAACCAAATATGAATTTATATTTAATAAGCCTGATTAGTAAAATGGGCCATTAAATCGTTAATTATTGAATTTCAAAAGTACACACACCTAATTATAAACTTGTCCAGTTGGCAATACAATCAGACTAATGAAAAGCATCCCCAGAAAACCAGAAGATCACATAATTACACATAATCCAATAAAATAATTTTGTTTAAATATAACACACTTCGTGTGTGCACATAACGGATCTGCAGGTCTGGCATAAATCCACTTTATTTCCAGGCCTCTGGTCTTGAGCCTTCTTCATTTAATGACAACAGTTACTATTCTCCGCCACACGTGGGCCTCCGCCTCCCGCACTCTTGGGCCCCCCCCCCCCCACCCCTCCTCGGGCTGAGCCGCTTCGACCCCGAGGGACCAGCACCAGGTCGGCGCTGCCACCTCTAACCTGCCCCTTCTCTTCCAGGGGCCACCGAAGCAGAAGGCGGGCCCGCTTTTCTTTCGGGGAACTTTTCTTCGTTCCCGCATCTGGAGCCGCAGTCCAGACCCCGAGCCTCCCCCATCAACCCCGCACGCCGCCCTTGGTTCCATCGCCGCCGCCAGAATCCGCACTTACGGGCACATACAGGCCGAAGGTGACGCAGCCTTGAGCAGCGCGGAGCAGCCCCAAACCCAGCCACAGCCCCCGCGCGGGTCGCGAGGGGGAGGCGGCCGCGGACCCAGCGACTTTGGAGCCAGCGGAACAGCAGCGGCGTCTCCCGGGCAACCAGGACGCTCAGCCCGCGCCGGGCAGGGCGGCTTCCGGAGTGGGTTCCCCTGGCGGCTGCAGCCCCCAGCCGCTGTCCTTCCTCTCTCGGTGGGTAACCTCGGGGCGGAGCCTGTAATGTCTGTGTGTGGACGGAACAAAAGATGCATGAGGGCGCTCAGGAAACATTTCAACCACTTTCCCCTTAATATTGTGATTACACCAAGTCCCCTTCTTTCCAAAGGCATCGAGAGCACTAAAATTAAGCACACGTAACGCTTGAATATTAGTTCGTTTCCCTGCAGAGACCTTCAGTTTGCAAGATCTTCTGTCATTAGTCATTACTTTTTAGTCTTGCTTAATTATCCAAATACCGTTTCAGCAAACTTCTGTAGGTTTTTGGGTGAAAAGCAGCTATGGATCAGAGGCCATTTTCCTAAATTACTTAGCATTGTATTTGTATCTGGGGCTTTACTTAGAATCAGACACAGGTTTGATACCCACTGGGGAAGAAAGTTAATAAAACAATGTAATGAATGCTGTGTGGAGATAATGTATTACTTGGGACGGAGAATTTTTGCCAGAGCTTACCCAGTTTGTTCCCAGGACTAACTTAGAAATGCTGTGTGTTGATAAGCACACACTACTTTGTTTCAGCATCAGCAAAATGCTCCCCATGATCATGGCCAGGTTTAACACGTCCATCCTTCCCTCACAGGTGACTCCTCTCCTGTTTTCATCCATCTAATTTCTTTTCCGTTTCTTTCAGTTCTTTAGATACATGCTCAAATCTCCTATCTTAAAATCAAACCAGGCCGGCGCGGTGGCTCACGCCTGTAATCCCAGCACTTTGGGAGGCCGAGGCGGGTGGATCACGAGGTCAAGAGATCGAGACCATCCTGGTCGACATGGTGAAACCCCGTCTCTACTAAAAATACAAAAAATTAGCTGGGCATGGTGGCGCGTGCCTGTAATCCCAGCTACTCAGGAGGCTGAGGCAGGAGAATTGCCTGAACCCATGTTATATTGCACTCAGCACAGAAAGTCAACACCAGAACAAAAGTATGCCAAATTGCAGGGCTTATTGCTGGTGAACACGGAGGACTCACGTCTCTCCAACCCGTGGCAGAGAAAGAAGAGTGACAAGACCTTTTTATACCCACAAAACCACCTTGGGAGTGGGGGTGAGGAACGGAGATGAGAATGAAAGCTGTCAATCACCTTCTAGGCTGAGAGGAGGGTGAGGGGGCTCCGGATATTCCAAGGGCCAGGGGACTTTTGTCATTCCGATTGCCACTTAAGTGGTTTACAGAGGTCAAGGTAAATATTAATTTATACATTATTTGGACAGGTGTGGGGTCCATATAATTTTAGGTTACTTGGCGCCAGGATGGAATTATCTGGGGGTGCTTACTTTGGTAAACAAAGGCCAGCAATTCTGGCAGTTACAGATAAGAGAAGGTATGCAGCTTGTCCTCTCTTTACATTTTGCAAGGTAATCTTAGTACTTTACAGAAGCCATGGCTAGCAGTCATTGTGAGGAGAATGGAAACAGTTTTCCCATTTTAAAATGGCATTGTACTGGTTCTAATTCTAGGCCAGCTATATCACACCCAGGAGGCCGAGGTTGCGGTGAGCCGAGATCGCGCCATTGCACTCCAGCCTGGGTAACAAGAGCGAAACTCGGTCTCAAAAAAAAAAAAAAAAAAAAAAAAAAATCAAACCAAAAACCTTTATCTCCTTCCTCTTTGGAGACCAAACACACTTCCACTAAACTCAAATATACTCATACAACTCACATCTACCCAATTTCTATGTAATTTGCACTATTATGCTATAGAAAAATTTCTCATTAAGTGTACAAGTATCATCTTATGTACAAAGCCACCAACTTATTTATATCTTCATGATACTTGCTCTCCAGTTTCTGAAACTGTTGATTCCTAGCTGCTTCTCTCATGAGGAGGCTTTTCACAACCAGGCCTACCTTTTTACAGCTTCCTGCCCTATTACTCTGCTCCAGGCACCCTAAACTCTGGTTCATTCAATTCAATGTCGCTGTTCTTGAACACACATGCCTTGCTCTAAGCTATAGGTTCCTACCTTGCTTTCTTCCTGCATAGGATAAACTCCTCTTCATCTATCAACAAATGTTTCTACACAAATCAGAATTAGGCACAATCTCTTGTACTTTTTTTTTTTTGGAGACAGAGGCTCACTCTGTCACCCAGGCTAAAGTGCAGTGACACAATCATATCTCACTGCAGCCTCAAACTCATGGGCTCAAGGTGCTCTCACCTCAGCCTCCCTCTGCAGTAGCTGGGACTATACGCATGTGCCATTATATCTGGCTAATTCTATTTTTTGTAGAAATGGAATCTCGCTAAGTAACCCAGACTGGTCTTGAACTCCTGGGCTCATGTGATTCTCCCAGCTCAGCCTCCCAAAATGTTGGGAGTATAGATTTGAGCCACTGCACTAGGCCTGAACCTTGTTTTAATACTTACTTCCGTTTGCCTCTATTCATTCAAGTGTGCTCCTTGGATGAATACTGGTTGGGAATTAAATCTTTCCCATCTCTTCTCCAGTGCTAGTAAAGTGCCTTGGCCACACTGCAAATAATCACTGTATGTTGTATAAATAATTATCTCACAGAAGTTAAAGAAAGGAAATATTTGTTATGACTTTTGACTACTTACTTTATATACTTTAACTGTAAATTTTATGTAAATCCTTTTTTCTTTGTACCAAATTTGGGTAAGAAAAATGTCTTTTGGCTTTGGTTCTGTTTATGTGGTGAATTATGTTTATAGATTTGCATTTATGTTGAACCACATGATTATCTCAATTGATGCAGAGAAGGCCTTTGACAAAATTGAACAGCCGTTTATGCAAAAAACCCTCAATAAACTAGGTATTGATGGAATGTATCTCAAAATAATAAAAGGTATTTATGACAAACCAACAGCCAATATCATACTGAATGGGCAAAAACTGGAAGCATTCCCTTTGAAATCTGGCACTAGACAAGGATGCCCTCTCTCACCACTCCTATTCAATATAGTACTGGAAGTTCTAGCCAGAGCAATCAGGCAAGAAAAAGAAAAAAAGGATATTCAATTAGGAAAGGAGGAAGCCAAATTGTCTCTATTTGCAGAAGACATGATAGTATATCTAGAAGACCCTATTGTCTCAGCCCAAAATCTCCTGGAACTGAAAAGCAATTTCAGCAAAGTCTCAGGATATAAAATCAATGTGCAAAAATCACAAGCATTCGTCTACACCAAAAACAGACTTAAAGAGAGCCAAATCAAAAACAAACTGCCATTCACAATTGCTACAAAGAGAATAAAGTACCTAGGAATACAACTAACAAAGAATGTAAAGGACCTCTTCAAGGAGAACTACAAACCACTGCTCAACGAAATAAAAGAGGACACAAACAGATGGAGAAACATTCCATGTTCATGGTTAGGAAGAATCAATATTGTGAAAATGGCCATACTGCCCAAAGTAATTTACAGATTCAATGCTATCCCCATCAAGCTACCAATGATCTTCTTCACAGAAATGGAAAAAACCACCTTAAACTTCATATGGAACCAAAAGAGAGCCTGCATAGCCAAGTCAATTCTAAGCAAAAAGAACAAAGTGGGAGGCATCAAGCTACTGGACTTCAAACTATACTACAAGGCTACAGTAATCAAAACAGCATGGTACTGGTACCAAAACAGAGAATATAGACTCATGGAACAGAACAGAGGCCTTGGAGGCAACACAACACATCTACAACTATCCAATCTTTGACAAACCTGACAAAAACAGGCAATGGGAAAAGGATTCCCTGTTTAATAAATGGTATTGGGAAAACTGGCTAGCCATGTGCAGAAAGCAGAAACTGGATCCCTTCCTGACACCTTACACTAAAGTTAACTCCAGATGGATTAAAGACTTAAGCATAAGACGTAACACCATAAAAACCCTAGAAGAAAATCTAGGCAAAACCATTCAGGACATAGTAGGCAAGGACTTCATGACCAAAACACCAAAAGCATTGGCAGCAAAAGCCAAAATAGACAAATGGGACCTAATCAAACTCCACAGCTTCTGCACAGCAAAAGAAACAGTCATTAGAGTGAATCAGCAACCAACAGAATGGGAAAAAATGTTTGCAGTTTACCCATCTGACAAAGGGCTGATATCCAGAATCTACAAAGAACTAAAACAGATTTATAAGAAAAAAAACAAGCCCATTCAAAAGTGGGCAAAGGATATGAACAGACACTTTACAAAAGAAGACATACAAGAGGCCAACAAACATATGAAAAAATGCTCATCATAACTGGTCATTAGAGAAATGCAAATCAAAACTACATTGAGACACCATCTCACACCAGTTAGAGTGGCGATCATTAAAAAATCTGGAGACAGATGCTGGAGAGGACGTGGAGAAAAAGGAACACTTTTACATTGTTGGTGGGAGTGTAAATTAGTTCAACCATTGTGGAAGACAGTGTGGCGATTCTTCAAGGACCTAGAAAGAGAAATTCCATTTGACCCAGCAATCCCATTACTGGGTATTTATCCAAAGGATTATAAATCGTTCTACTATAAGGACACATGCACACGAATGTTCATTGCAGCACTGTTTACAATAGCAAAGACCTGGAACCAACCCAAATGCCCATCGATGATAGGCTGGACAGGGAAAATGTGGCACATATACACCATGGAATATTATGCAGCTATTAAAAACGATGAGTTCGTGTCCTTTGTAGGGACATGGATGAACCTGGAAACCATTATTCTCAGAAAACTGACACAAGAACAGAAAATCAAACACCACATGTTCTCACTCATAGGTGGGTGTTGAACAATGAGAACACATGGACACAGGGAGGGGAACATCACACACTGGGGTCTGTGGGGGGGAAACGGGAGGGACAGTGGGGGGTGGGGAGTTGGGGAGAGATAGCATGGGGAGAAATGCCAGATATAGGTGATGGGGA